CTCGCTGGGCTACCCACACAAGTAGGTGCTGTAGTGAGAGGGTCTCCTGCCAACGCAATTGCTGCTGCTGTCCAACCCCAGAACCTCTGCCTCCACCAACTGTGTGCCGTGACATAGCTCCCTGGCCTCCACCCCCACTACTTCCACCATGACCACCACCAGAGTCACCTCCGCCACCCCCAGTGCTGCCACCACCCCCGCTGCTCCCACCACCCCCGCCACCACCACCTCCATCGCCCCCACTACCTCCACCACCACCGCCCCGCCGCCACCACCCTTCAAATTTTTGCTGCCCACCCTTGTTGCACCTTCCGCTAGCAGCGGACGCCGCACTGGCTACCTCAGCACCGAGGAAGTCAACAGCAGCAGCAGAGGTGATAGAAGGTGCGAGGAGGGAAGGAGCATACCCCTCAAAGAAAGAGGTGCGGGGAGAAAAACGGGAGGCAGCTACAGTGAGGGCACTAGTCTAAGCCTCTAAGAGACACGACTCAAAGGAGGCTAGGGTGAGCTCAGTGGGGTCGAGAGAAAGGAAGTGGTCTCGGATGGGGCGAAGGGAGTCAGGGAGACGGGTTATTATAAAGTAGAGAATGATGTACATCAGGGGTGGGTTTGTAGTCAGAAACTCTTGCTTAAGAGCAGCACTATAGTGAAGGTCACTGGTGCGCAGGTGAGTCATGAGGTCAGCAACAGTGGCGAAGTCTGACAGTTCAGGAAAGAAGTACGGCAGTAGCAGGCAACCTAGGGTGGCAGAGGAGGGGGAGGAATAACGCTTCGATACAACATTATAAAGAGCTTTGGCAGTTTTCAGCTAGCGAAAGTGGGTGCGTTGGTCGGGCGGGAGGTGGCTGTAGACGGCAAGCGCTGCAGTAGCGTCGCGTGCTAACCACTGAGTACTAGTTATGCGATCAGACCTAAACCGCAGCTGCACGTTTGCTGGCGCGGAGGGGTCAGGCAGTGTCGGAGTGGGGGGGAGCCTAAGAGATGCTCAAAGAGAGATGCGTCATCTTTGGTAACGCTTAGCAAGTACAAGTGAAGCCCCTCAATTTAGGACTCGTAATCGACTGGGCTACCCTTGGCGTCAAACTTTAGTATAGTGGGAGTCGCCATAATAGGCAGGGTGGCGCACAAACAACAGTAGTAGAAGGGTGGAGGCACTAGGTGTGCGGAAGTAGCAAGGAAAACAGTAGCAGCTGGAGTGGCAATGGCGGCTGGAGCAGTGCCAGCAAGGCGCAAGGGCATGTGGCAAAGTGGTTAAGGCCTTGAGAGGTAAGGCAGCAGTGGCATGCGGGGCACAGCAGCGGCGTGTAGCGCGTGCGAACAGCGTGGGCAGCGCACGGGCTGCGCTGAGCTGGGCAATGAGCGGGCGGCAGCAGAGCAGCAGTAGGCCGCAGCTCGGCAGGGCAGGGCAGGGCGACGCCCATAGGGCAGCGTGCAGGGCAGGCTGCAGCACGGGCAGTAGGGCAGAGTGGCGCGCGCAGCGCAGCGCATAAGGCAGGCTGCAGCGCGGGCGGCATGGCAGGGCGGCGCGCGTAGGTCAGCGAGCACGGCAGGTTGCGGCGCGAGCAGTAGGGCAGCCAGCGCGAATGGGGCATGCGCAGGGCTGTGTACGGGGCGTGCGCAGGACAGCGACCGAGGCGCGCGCGGGGTGGAGACCGAATCATTCGATAAGGGCGCATTTCGAGCAGAATAAGGCGACGCGTGCTTGAGGCGCGCGACAGGCAGCTAAAGGGCACGTAGTAGGGGCACACTACGGGCAGCGAAAGGGGCAGGTCCTAAAAAAAATGGTCCTAATGGACTCGCCTGCTCTATACCATGTTAGATTTTTAGGAGGAAAATGTGCATTAGGTCAAGGCAAGGGGAGTACAAGAATGGTGTCGAGAAAGTTGGTGTACCCCCTAAAGCATACGCCACTGCAACCTAAATACAGATAAATGACTACGTTTTGACGCATGGTGGTTCATATTCAGAGTTTGTGGGTCGCCTTATGTACCAGATGACGTGCACTCGGCTTGACCTTGCGTACCCTCCTAGTGTCATGGCTCACTACATTGCATCTGGTAGACACCGACTAAGCATTGGAGGGTAGCTAGGAGGGCACTCCGTTGCTTGGCCAGTACATTAGGCATGGGGCTTGTGCTTGGTGGACGAGACCTAGTTGTGCGTATACAACACTCGGATGGTTTGTGAGCCGATAATCCGGCAACTTCTCGGTTATCACAGGGTGACACTTTTAACCTTGGTACTGGTATCTTGGCACTGTAGCGATGACGCATGCCGCACTTGAACGCGTGGTTCACCGACACATCCAGAGGCTGCACTAGCGGTGTGCAGCCCCCTGAAATGACAACCCATGAAAGCCAAAACATCGGCATGGTCTGCCCGACCGCCTCGATCAAATGGCCGCAGTAGGAGTCGAGCACAACCAAGCCCTCCCTGCGGCGTCCGGTTGTTTCATGCAGGGGCTTCAAAAACGGGACCATCACCTCGGTGACCATTCCTGCACTAGTGCTTCGTCCATCCGCCCTTTCTCTTATGCATGGACCATCACACTTGCCAAACAACACGAGAGGGTCAGGTTCAGTTGCGACATTTTACAGGTAAGAGCACGGACAACATCGTAAACCTGGTCCGCTTACCGGCAGGGATGTGCACCTTCGGGATTGCGCTTGAACACCACGTACAGCGGAAGTTTGAGCCCGCTCGCTATTACTGCCAGCATGACAGTAACACGCTCCTTCTCATAGCCCGCACTCCGTACGTGAACCATCCGCGCTCCCTTCATTTCGAGCATGCGCTCCGCTGGCATGTCCAGGAATAGCGGAGTCTGGTCCACGTTCACGATGAGGTCAAGCGGGTAATCATGCAGAGAGCGCATCTGGCGCACGAACTCCCAAAACGACTCGACCTTGGCATTGCAATCTGCAAACAGAGCAACGAGAAACATTAGCTACACATTGCCACAAGTTAACCGAGAACATGATAACGCTTCACTTACCCAATGCCAGCTTCTGTCCCATCTTCGTCTTCACCCGCCTCGCCAAATTGCCAGCGCGCGCGAAAACGAGCCGCCCACCGGAACGAAGCGCGCCAGTTGACCCCAGGCATTCTGTGCTTCATATACTTGGCACTCCACTTCTGAGGCATGCTGACCGTGATGGCAAGGCCCCTCGCCCGGTATATAAGGAACTGGTGGTAGACAGCCCGTTCCATAAATGGGTACTTGGACTTGCGCCCATGCCCCATGAGGCGACGGCGGCAGCTGGAAGCGACCTCCAAGCACTCCCTCATCTTCTTCCATTCGCGGATCTGGCAGGGCTGCACGTTCGCAAGCTTTGTCAGGGCGCGGTTAGATAGGTCAGGCTGAGAAACCCGCATCTTGAACCAATGGAGTTTCTCCTTCCCGGTGATTGCATTCTGGTGGCGTTTCGTCATGCGGTGGCAAGGACTTGGCAGGGCAGCATTGGCATTGCGCTTCGTCTGTCCTTGCGGGCGGTTATGCTCAGGGAAGGTGGGGACAACCACTCGAGGAAGGGTGGGGCGAGGACGGTCAGAGCTAGTGCTCGGTTCATTCCGGGCAGAAGCATTACAGGGAGCATCCAGTTGGGGCAAGATAGGGCGTGGAGACGTCCGTGCGTGTGCAGCAGTGCCACTCTGAAAGGTAAAAGGGCACTGTCGCCTATCAACAGTATTGCTAGAATCTAGTGATGACGCCATGCTTGTAAACTACCAAGGCAGACGATACTTTAACCTGTTAGACGTAGCAAGAAAATGATGGTCGATTAGGTAAGGCGGGGGGGGGGAGAAGACTGTCAAGAAAAAGTGTTGTACCCTCTAGGGATAACCCCTACATAGCCTAAAAATATAGAAACCATATATTGTTTCAACACACCCCCATAGGTGAAGTAGGGGGGATAGCCAAACCAAACAGAGGTCGCGAGACCAGTAAGGAGATGCAAACAATGCAAAGCCCAGGGTGGATCTCAAGATCACCACGCATTCTAAGCACAAACAAGTGGCCACAAAGCCAGTTCACATGCAGAGTTATAAGAACAAAAGCAGTATACTGATCACAACCTAGCAAGATCAAGCATGCAGGTATATATAGAGACCACAGTACAAGACAAGTCAAGCAACCAGCATGTGAGGCAGAGTGGACAGAAGCCCAAGAGCAGTGCAAAAACGCTGATGATCACCAGACACAAGGGTCTTGGTGAAAACATTAGAAGTGTTGGCCTGAGAGGCCACGAAGGAAAGGCGGAGCTGACCACGCTGCTACAGCTCTCAAGCAAGGAAGTAACGAAGAGCAATGTGCTTCGTCCTGTGCTCCTTACACAAGACAAGCATGGCCTTGTTGTCGACGTACAGAACTGGAAGAGAACGAGGCCACTTCCCCAAGTCAGTCAGCAGGTAGGTCAGCCAGCGTAGCTCCTAGGCAGCCATAGCCCCAGCATAGATCTCGGCCTCACTGCTGGAACTAAGCACAGAAGAAGAACAAGTGGACCTCCACGAGACAGAACCGGAGCCAAGACAAAAGGTGTAACCCTGTGACGAGCCCAGTCGGCCCAAGAAGCGTCGGAGTGTCTTGTAAGTACCACAGGACCCCGTCCTTCTATCACGAGCCCCATGCCGGATGTACTGCACAAGTAACGCAATACCCTCTTTGCAGCATTCCAGTGCACCTTTCGATGTCGACCGGCCGCCACGTAGCAAGCCAGGAGGCTGAGAGGGTACGCGAGGTCAGGTCGTGTACACGCCATCAGATACATGAGGCAACTCACAAGCTCTGGATACAGACCACTCGGCTCTACGGACTCGTCTGAAGGTGGAGCTGAGAGCGAGTGGCCAGTAGGAAGAGGAGTGGGCAGTGGCGAGGAGTATTGGAAGCTGAAGCGCTGAAGCACCTAATGCACCATGTGTGACTGAGTCAGGGTGATGGTGCGCCGTGCTCTGTCCCGGGTGATCTGCAAGCCAAGATAGCTACGCAGCTCACCCATGTCAGTTCAAATGTGTCTCTCCAGCAGCTCCGTCTTCACTAGGGCCAGCGCCTCAGTGTCAGCAGTGGCAAAAACCAAGTCGTCGACGTACACGAGAATGTAGAACGGCGGCAAGGTGGTGTCGGTGCGTAGAAACAGCGACGGGTCAGCAGTGGAAGGAGCAAACCCAAGAGCCGCAAGTGTAGTCCTCAGTGTGCGTTCGTCCCACTCGCGGGGTGCCTGGCAGAGACCGTAGACAGGCCGCCGGAGGCACCACTGGGTACCAGCAGGAAACGACCCAGTGAAGCCAGGTGGGCGGCGCAGCCAGATCTCCTCGTGAAGGCTGCCCTGCAAGAAAGCTGTGGAGAAGTCGAGAGAGTGTAGCTCATGGTCACGCTGTGCTACAACGTGCAGCAACACCCGACGAGTAGTCATCTTCAGAGTGGGGGAGAAGGTTTGGAAGTAGTCGACCCCCTGTTGCCGACTAAAGCCTCGAGCAACGTAACGAGCCTTGAAGACAGGCAGAGAACCCGGCGGCCGCTTCACTCTGAAAATCCACATGCCATCGACTACCTCGTCGACGTAGTTGCCTGTGGACTTCTAGAAAGCCATCTTTGCGTCCATGGCTGTCTGCCACTGAAAGGAGCACTCACCCGCAATCTCCTCCGCGTAAGAGCGTGGGTAGGGATGTCAAGTGCATCCTGGTCTCTTTCAGGGCAAAGCAGCATGGATGCAAAACGAGGTAAAACTACATCAGGACACTCAAGCTCAAACTGTCTGTCCTCAAGGAAGTCACTGCTAAGGGCAGGCTCACCCTCGACGGATGGAGGACAGACAGACTCAGACTCAGTAACAAGACTCGTGACATAGTCGAGACGACGTCTAGCTGCAGAATCGACTAGCTGAGTGAGTAGGGCAAACGCAGCAGCAGACTCAAAGTCAGGGTCAATGACGACAGTAGAGAGGAGACGAGTGACAGTAGGACTGGCAGCACGAGCAAGGTCGGAGTCAGGGTCAGGAACGTGCGGAAGTGAGAACGCGGGAGGCTCAGCCAGGACAACACACTGTAACAGAGGAAGGAAGAAGTGCCATACTGTGAGTGCCTGGGACAACAGGAGGACGAGGACGGGCAACACGACGAGCACGAACGAGTCTCAGGCTCACGACCCTCAGTCAAGGACTTAGTCACCTCAGTGTGAGGAGCAGGAGCAGGGAACGGGGAGCCAGGCAGTAGCTGTGGCTGAGACTGGTTGGTCGGTGGACACAGGAGAGGTGGAGTGAGGCCAGTGGAATATGGGAGACTAAGAACCTGGTGAAGGACCGAGTCAGGCGGCGTCAGGGACGACTACGGCTTTGGGTAGAAAAACGGTCGGCGCGGGGCAGTACTAGCAGCTCCAGCTCCTCCTGCACTAGCAGCATCATCACCTCCAGCACCAGCAGCTCCAGTACCTCTAGCACTAGCAGCACCACGAGCTCCGACAATGCCAGCACCTCTAGCACCAGCAGTACCTCCAGCACCTCTAGTGCCAGCAGCTCCAGCAGCACCTCCAGCACCGCCACCACCAGCAGCACCACTTGCTCCGGTAGCTCCAGCACCTCTAGTACGTGGACCTCTAGGACCAGCAGCTCCAGCACCTCTAGCAACTCCAGTACCTCCAGTAGCACCTCCAGCAACTCCAGCACCAGCAGCACCACCAGCTCCGGCAGCTCCAGCACCTCCAGTACGAGCACCCCCAAGTCTAGCAGCTCCAGTACCTCCAGTACCTCCAGCTCCAGCGCCTCCAGCACCAGCACCTCCAGCACCTCCAGCACCAGCAGCTCCAGCACCTCGAGTGCCAGCAGCTCCAGCACCTCTAGCACCAGCTGGACCTCCAGGACTAGCAGCTCCAGCACCTCCAGCAGCCCCAGTAGCTCCTCCAGGACTAGTAGCACTGGCACCTCTAGCACGAGCAGCTCCTCTAGCACCTCCAGGAATAGCAACTCTAATACCTCCAGCACCAACAGCACCTCTAGTACCTCCAGCACTAGCAGCACCTCCTACACCAGCAGTACCTCCAGCACCTCCAGCACCAGCAGTACATCCAGGACTAGTAGCTCCAGCACCAGCAGGACCGTACCTTCCACCAACAGGACTGCCTCGCCGAACAATCCACGCACGAATCGCCTGCGGAGAGAGCGTCTCAAGTAGATCAGGCTGCGGTGGCTGTCCGGCTCCAGGACCTCCACCAGGGTCACCCACAGCACCACCGCCGCTCGCAGCACCCCCAGAGTCAACACCCCCAGTCGCAGCACCCCCAGAACAGCACCTCCAGAACCCTCACCTTCTGTCTCAGCACCCCCAAGCTCAGCACCAGTAGTCTCGGCTCCAGAGTCCACAGCAGCAGGATGCGGAGGCGGCAAAGACGACCGAGGTGGAAAGCCCGAGGGGGTCTCCAAGCGTGGAGAGCTGCGAGGGGCCGCCTTGTCATCCGCGGCAGAGTCACTCCCCTCAGCTGGGCCAGAGGAGTCAGAGAGATCTCCACAGGCTCATCCAAAGGGGGTGGGTCTACCTGAGACACACCTGAGGGAGCAGGACCCTGCGGGAAGAGTGGGTCTACCCGGGGGGGGGACTAGTACCAGGAAGAGAGGGGCGAGGGGGGCCGGGTGGGATGCATGCGGGTGTAGCCTATAGTAACAAACAGACTCGTCAAAGGTGACGTCCTGGGAGGAGAAGACTCGACACAAGTGCGGGTGGTAAAACTGCCACAGTGGGGCATCGGTGGGAAAGCCAAGGAAGACGCAGCGAAGAGTGCAAGGGGAGAGCTTGCTCGTAATAGTATCGCGAACAAGGGAGAGCGCGCCCTAGACCCGAACACCGACGCATCGCCAACCTCTCCCTCCCAACGCAGTGTGGGCGAGCTCTCTGGCAAAGAGACACGAGGCCAGAGGTTGAGCTGATGCGCAGCGTATCAGACTGCAAACGGCCACAAAAAAAGGGGAGTAGCCGCATGGATCATGGAGGTACGAGCAACCTCCATGATCAAGCCAATGCGACGCTCAGCAATCCCATTCTGCTGCGGAGAGGTCGAAAGTGAACGACTGGCGGATGCCCTGGCCCGGCAAAACTCTGCAAGGAGATCGGAAGAGAACTCACCGCCCCTGTCAGAGTGAAGGCGCAGGACTGGAAGGTCTCCCCGAAACCGCTCGCGCAGCTAGCGACGAGTAGCATGGATCCAGGGGATCAACACACTGCTGACGTCCGCCTTGCGCCGCAAGGGGAAGACAGTGGCGTAGCGTGTGTACTCGTCAAGAACCAGCAGGAAGTTGCGCTCCTGGTCCATTCCACTGACGGGGGCCGGGCACACGTCCATGTGGAGAGTTTGCAGAGGAGCGGTGGTCGGAGGAAACTCGGAGGAGTGAGGAGTGGCATGCTGCCGCCCCTCAATGCAGGGAAGGCACGGCGGGGCAGGCAAGCGCCGGAGGGAGGGCAGAGACCTGGGAAGGCTAGAAACAAGGAGACGGGAGTGCATGCTGCGGAGACGAGGCAGCGAGGGGTGACCTAGGCGGTGATGCCAGAGAAGAGTCTGGTGAGAGAGTAACCGCCACGAGCAAGACGCTGCAAGTTGACCAGACGCAGACACCCGACTTGACGCAGCCACCTGACCTGACTTAGCCACCTGTGCAGAGGTAGTGGTCAGTGTGTAAAGACCGGACCCAGGCTGACAAAAGAACGTAGCAAGGTGACGGCCAGTCCGTGAGCACTTACAGATCACCACACTCTGTCCTTCAGGAAATAAAGGTGTCAACCCTTGCATCCTGGAGAACGGCGTTGCTCAACAAGTTCGTCGAGAACTCGGGGAGGTGGAGACCTGTGAGAGACCTGGAGGGGACTGCCGACACAGGAGGACAGTGGAGGTTCGTGCAACTACTGGGGCCCCAGTGGGTCAGCCAGTAAGACTGGAACAGGTGTTGCGAGTGGTGTGGCTATGGTGCAATCACGAAAGAAGCAACGTGACGCGCCTGAGTCAAGTGTGAAAGTGTGCAAGGCCTCAGCTGAGGCAGGACCGGTGGCGGTAGACGCACTTGCAACTAGAGCTGCAAGAGACTCACTAGCACCTAGAGCAGCAGCTGACTCACTAGCACCTAGAGCAGCAGACTCACTAGCAACTGGAACGGCAGCAGACTCAATAGTACCTAGAGCGGCCTCTACACACCCAGGGACGCTTCGCTAAGAAACACAGTCGTGAAGCCGCTGCGGGGAGAAGGTCTCCTGTTGACGCCGCTGCCGCCGCTGTCCATTATGCATAAACCAAAACTCCCACCACCTGCACGGGCTCGCTGAGCAACCCACTCACGAATTAGCTGTGGTGATAGAGTGTACGTGTGAGATAGTGGCTGCTGTTGTCCGCCCGTAGACGCTGCGACGACCGCGAGAGTGGTCATCACAGGCAGTGGCAGTCAGTAGTAGCGGCGCAAGGGCGTGAGTAGCAACTGCTCTAGGTGGTTGCTGTGGCTGTGGAGGCCAGTAGGGTGTGCGGGCTGCAGGGTAGGGCGGCGCACGGGCCAAAGGGCAGTGCAGCGCGGCTCGCGGACTGCAGGGCAGGGCAGTGCGGCTCGCTGGCTGCAGGGCAGGGCAGCGCGGCTCAGGTGACAGCAGCAGCCTAGCAGCAGCAGCAGCAGCTGAGCAGTAGCAACTCAGGCGGCAGCAGCACCGCAGCAGCAGCAGTACAGGAGGCAGCAGGGGCTCGGCAGGGCAGAGCTCAGCTGCAGTAGCAGGAGCAGCAGCAGCATAAGCAGCAGTGCTTAGCAGCAGCAGCAGCAATGCGCTTAGCAGCAGCAGTAGTAACAGCGCTTAGTAGCAGCAGCCATGCAGCAGTAGCAACTGCGTAAGTGACAGCAGCAGCAGCGCGCATCAGCGCGGATGGGCAGGGTGCAGGCCGGGCGCAGGCTGCTGGCGGGCAGCGTGAGCAGGCAGGGGTGCAGTGGCGCTCGCGGGCAGGGGCGCAGTGGCGCTTGTGGGCAGGCAGAGTGCTCGCGGGCGGGCAATGCGCTAGGCAGCAGGGCAGCACGATCGCGGGCAGGGCAGGGCAGCGCGATAGCGGGTGGGGCAGGATAGCGCGAGAAAGGTAAGGAGGGGGATGGTCGATTAGGTAAGGGGGGGTTGGTGGGGGGGGGGGGGGGGGGGGGGGGGGGGGGGGGGAGGGGGGGGTACAAGACTGTCGAGAAAGTGTTGTACCCTCTAAGGATTACCCCTACATAGCCTTGAAAAATAGAAACCATATATTGTTTTGACATTAACTACAAAACACGAGCAAAATAAGGAGCCGCTCTCACAGCCTGTCGAGCACTTGTCAATAACATGCACTAGAACCACTTGACTAAAGGGAAGCTGAGAGCCATGTGAGGAGGCCTAGACGTGACCAAATGGAAGTCAAGAGGTCACAGGTACAGTGACCTCTCAGCACCGTGCATGAGCCCAAGCTGCGCGAGGTTGGCACTGCTGTCATCGAAGTTGCCTCATTTGGGCAACTGGAATTTGCCATGTGGCGGATTCCAGTGGAGGGTGGCGTTATCCTTGATGACTCGGTTTTGCGCCCCTGTTCAACAATCTAAGAGTGAGGACAGACTACTGTTTTTGTTTCCTTTCATTTTTGCTAGAAAATAGAAAATAGTTTTAAAAAAAAACTTTATAGTTAGACTTGGGTATTATGTAGCTTATTCCTTTGAAGACACCCCCCCCCCCCCCCCCCTTTTTTTCCCTGTTTTTTTACATATACCCAAGGGTGTTATGTGCAGGAGAATAAGGTGTGTGAAGTGTAACAATCATCATGGATGGATTGGGAACAATGAGAGAGATGGGCCAGGGGGGGCAGTGTAACAGGTGGGCCGGGGAGAGGGATGAAAGAGGCACATGGGCTGAGGAGAGGGGAGAAACGGGATTGGTGGGGGAGAGTCGAATGGAATAGGGATGTACAGCTATTTCTCAGGTACTGCTTCCATCTACACATTTATCTTACGAAGTGAAAACAGCGGAATGAGTTGGATTGATTGGGTTGGGGTACAAATGCCTAACCCTAACTGTTTGTACCCCATATAGCATAGCACTCTAGAGGCTATAACATTTGACACACCCCCATAGCCTAAGTGGGGAATGCCAAGCAACAAAACACAACCTAAGGTCACAAGACCAGTCACAAGCAAGAGAGTACAAGCTAATATATATAGTACAAACAAACAAGAGGCAAGAATTCATTATTGCACTCTACTAGACCCAGCCTCAATGATGCCTAACTGCAGACAAAACCGGCGGTGGTCACAAGGCTGAAGGGCCACGGTGAAGATGTCTGCAGTGTTGGCTTTGGAGGCCACGAAGTCCAGACGTGCCTGACCGCGTCTCTGCAACTCTCGAAGGAGGAAGTACCTGACGTCGATGTGCTTCACTCTGCTCTCCAGTCGAGGCTCACGACACAGGAGAATCATCGCCTTGTTGTCAGCAAACAAGGTCGGTGCAGAGCTCGGCCGCTCACCAAGGTCAGTGAGCAAGAAGGTCAACCAGCGTAGCTCCTGTGCAGCAAGGGCTCCAGCGTAGATCTCGGCCTCTGCGGTAGAAGTCGCAACAGAGGAGGACCGAGTAGACCTCCACGAAACAGCTCCAGAGCCCAGGCTGAAACAGTAACCCTGCGTAGACCTCTGAGCCTCAATGTCGCCGGCATACAAGGAGTCGCAGTGACCGGTGAGTACAACTGGCTGTGTCCCTCCAAGTACAAGCCCCATGTCTGATGTCGTGGCGAGGTACTTCGCCACCCTCTTAGCCGCCGAACAGTGAACAGGACAATGTCTCCCAATCGCAACAAAGCGAGAAAGGATGCTAAGAGGGAAGGCGAGGTCCGGGCGAGTGCACGTCATCAGGTACATGAGGCAGCCCACTAGCTCTGCGTAGGGACCACTGGGCTTGAACAACTCGTCAGGAAAAGGCCCAGTCAGTCTGTGGTCTACATCAAGAGGGGTGGGTGTAGGAGAAGAGTGCTGAAGCCCGAACCGCTGAAGGACCTGCTGCACCATGTGTGACTGAGTCAGAGTGATGGTGCGAGCGGCTCTGTCCCTGGAGATCTGCAGGCCAAGGTAGCGGCGCAGTTCCCCAAGGTCAGTGCAGGTGTGTCTCTTCTGCAGTTCGGACTTTACCTCCGCCAGCGCAACTGTGTCGGCTGTGGCAAAAACCAAGTCGTCAACGTAGACCAGAACGAAGAAAGGTGTCGTCCACGACGAACAAACAACGACGGGTCGGCGGAAGACGGCTCAAACCCGAGGTCGGAGAGAGTAGAGCGGAGAGTGTCGTGCCACTCACGGGGTGCCTGGCAGAGACCGTAGACTGGTCGTCTGAGGCTCCACTGGGTCCCAGGCGGGAAGGTGCCAGTGAAGCCCGGAGGACGACGCAGCCAGATCTCCTCGTGTAGGCTGCCCTGCAGGAAGGCGGTGGAGAAGTCGAGGGAGTGTAGCTCGTAGTCCCTCTGTGCCGCTACGTGAAGTAACACCCGAAGAGTGGTCATCTTCGGGGTGAGCGCGAAGGCCTGGAAGAAGTCAACCCCCTCGCACTAACTGAACCCTCTAGCCACGTAGCATGCCTTGAAGACTGGGGAAGATTTCGGCGGCCGCATCACCTTGAAGATCCACATGCCGTCAACTATGTTCGCCCCTGTGGGGGGAACCTTGTCAGCGTACGTGCCTGTGGAGCTGTAGGAGGCCATCTCTGCATCCATAGCAGTTCTCCACTTAGAGGCCTAAGGCCCTGACACTGCATCAACGTAAGTGCGAGGAGTAGGTATGTCAGGAGCGTCGGGGTCTCCCTCAGGAGCGGAGAGCATGGCACAGAGATGAGGCGAAGCAGCTGCCAGGAACTCTAGCTCAAACTGTCTGTCCTCTAGGACGTTTCAAAGGGCAGACTCACCCTCGGCGGATAGAAGACGGACAGGAGGAGCGGCCACAACACGAGTGGCGTAGTCAAGGCGACGCGTAGCAGTAAAGTCAGTGACAGCGGCAGAAAGGACCGTGACGGACGAAGGAGAGGCACGTGGGTGTGTAACAATAGAGGCGAGAACACGAGAGAGAGTGGGGCGGTACGTGCGGTAGTAGTCAGAGACCGGAGTGGACAGGGAGGCAGTGAGGGACGACTCAGGAGGACGAGGAAGAACAGACGGAGGAGGACGAGGAGGACTAGGACGAAACAACACGGTACGGAGGTCAGTGACAGGTGACGAGGGACGAGCACGAGGAGGACGAGAGGCCCAAGTGTGGGCGAGAGGAGAGGGAGACGGAGGAGACTGAGAACGAGGGAACACAGCCGGAGCTGAGTCCGGAGGAGGAAACGTCGGACCGAACACAGGAGGAGAGGAGGGGAGACCAAGGGCCCGAAGGCCAGAAACAGGGGCCGGAGGCTGCTCCGGCTGCTGCGGCTGCTGCTGCTGCTGCGGCGGCGGCTGCTGCTGCGGCTGCTGCTGCTGCTGCTGTTTCTGCTGCTGCTGCTGCTGCTGCTGCTGCTGCTGCTGCTGCTGCTGCTGCTGCTGCTGCTGCTGCTGCTGCTGCTGCTGCTGCTGCTGCTGCTGCTGCTGCTGCTGCTGCTGCTGCTGCTGCTGCTGCTGCTGCTGCTGCTGCTGCTGCTGCTGCTGCTGCTGCTGCTGCTGCTGCAGCTGCTGCTGCTGCTGCTGCTGCGGCGGCGGCGGCGGCTGCTGCTGCTGCTGCTGCTGCTGCTGCTGCTACTGCGGCGGCGGCGGCTGCTGCTGCTGCTGCTGCTGCTGCTCCCGCTGCAACTCCAACCTCTCACGCTCTACCTACTGCTAAACCTCCAACCTCTCGTGCTCCAATCGCTGCTGCTCCTCACGCTCAAGACGAAGAAGGGCCTGGTAACGAGTCGGGTAGGGGTGAGGAGGAGTGGTGTCAGGAGACGCAGCAGAAGAACCTCCTCCGTCCTCGACAGTACCCGGCTGAGCACCCCCAGAGCGAGTACCCCCTGCGGCAGCACGACCAGTACCTGTAGGAGGTGTACCCGCACCCCCAGTCGTGGTGCCTCCAGTGGCACCAGCACCAGCCCCAGACTCTCCAGCTCCAGAAACACCACCAGCTCCAGCACCACCACCAGCTCCAGCACCCTTGGAACGAGCAGCTGCGGCAGGTGCACGCTCAGCGCCAACGCCAACACCCCCAGAACGGGCGGCTCCTGTAGGTGCACGAACAGCTCCAACGCCAGCACCCCCAGAGCGAGCACTTCCAGAGCCCTCAACTCGAGTACCAACACCCCCGGAGTCCATAGTGGCCGGTAAAGGAAGCGCTGACGGCTGCTGCGGAGGCTGTGAGGACGACTGTGGGGAAGGAGGAGAGACCTAGAGGGGTACCGAGGGGGGGGGGGGGGGGGGGGGGGGGGGGGGGTGTAGCGTGGGACACACCAGACGGAGCGGGAACAGGGGGGGGCACAGGAGGAGCAGGGGCGGGAGGAGGAGGAGCTGGAGCCAGGAAGAGGGGAGGGGGGGGAACCGGGAGACCTCGACCGGACGTAGTAGGGGACGGACTCGTCGAAACGGACGTCACGAGAGTCAAAGAACCGGTGGGAGGGAGGGTGGTAAAAGGTGAAGTCAGGGGGTCCTCTGGGAAACCAAGGAAGACACAGAGGACGGTGCGAGGTGAGATCTTTTCTGTAGAGGTGTCGCGGACAAGAGCCAAGCAGCCCCAGACACTAAACCTCGACGCAACACCAGGGGACCCTGTCCAAAGACTGGTCGGTGAAGCCCCTGGCCGTGAGACGCGAGGCCAGAGGTTCAATAGGTGAGCGGCGTACCGAGCCGCGTAGGGCCACAGAAAATGGGGCGCGCGGGCGTGGATCATGGAGGTGCGGGCAATCTCCATGACCAGGCCTAGGCGGCGCTCAGCAACCCCATTCTACTGTGGAGAGTCTGGAAGAGTCCAGGACTGGGTGATGCCCTGCTCAGCACAGAATCTGGCGAGAATGCCGGAGCGAAACTCACCCCCACGGTCGGAGTGGAGACAACTGACAAGATGACGGCGAGTACTCTCGGTAGCGAGCAGCCATCGGATCAGCGTAGAAGTCACGTCGGACTTCTTTGCCAAAGGAACACGGCGGTGTACCGAGAGTAGTCGTCAACGACCACCAGAAAGAAACTCTCCCGCTCAGGGCCAAGACGGCGAGCGGGGCCCCAGACGTCTAAGTGGAGTGTCTCAAAGGGCTCGGTGGCCGGACGAAGGGAGGAGGAGTGAGGGGTGGCGCGCAGCCGACCCTGGACACAAGGACCGCACGAAGGACTCGGAGGAGGCCTAAGACAAGACGCTGACTGGACATAACACGGAGACGAGGGAGAGACGGGTGACCAAGGTGGTGGTGCCAGAGGAGGGACGGGTGGGCAAGCGTCCGACACGAGCACGATGCAGCAACTAGACCGGACATAGCAACCTGACTGGACCCGGCTACCTGGTGGGACGGAGGAACCTGACGAGGGTCGGTGTGGAGGGTGTACAGACCGGAGCCCGGCTTCTGGCAAAAAGTGACCAAGGGGGCGTACGTGTCACCGTCCACACAGACCGCGGTGTCACCAGAAGGCTCAACCCAGACCCCGACGTGCTGTCTCGCCAGGGGGCCCACACCAACCAGGTTCCTAGAGAACGTAGGAACGTGGAGGCCAGTCAGGGAACCGGAAGGAGCAGCTGGGCACGGGAGCGTAGTGGCGTGAGTCGCAATGACCGGTCCCGAAGAGGGATCGGCTAGTTCTATGGAGACTGGCGCCGGTAGTGGAGAGAGAGTCGTGCGGTCGCGAAAGAAGCACTGCGTCGCTCCTGAGTCCAGTGTGAAGGAGAGAGACGCGTCCGCCGAGGGAGTACCTGTACTAGTAGCTAAACAAGATCCTACACTAGCACCTACTCTAGCAACAGTTAAAGATCCTACGCTAGGTACAGGCAAGTACACAGATCCAGGAGCACTATAGTCAACATCAGCATACATGGTATCATCATCCATAGTCATATCAAAAACAGAGATACCACGAGCAAGAAGTGTCCCCCAGCGTGGCGGCGGGGGAGCGGAGGGGCCGTGGTGCAAGAGGTAGAGGTCGTCGAGACGACTGAAGCAGCGTGCAGCAGAGTGGTCAGGGCGGCCACAGTACGAGTCCCTACGTGGACCCGTAAGGATCCAGTACTCACAGGGACCAACGTCGCGACCGGCCGAGCGAGGTCCCCGACTGGAGGGGGCGCCACTGCGCCCAGTGCTCGGGGGACCCGCAGACCTCCACTGCTGCGGAGGGCCCCACTGCTGAGGCTGCTGCTGTGGCGGGCGCTGCTGCTGGCCCTGTCGCTGCTGCTGCTGTCCCTGCCGCTGCTGCTGTCCAGGCGGTGGCAGCTGCTGAGAAGCCGGCTGCTGCTGCTTGTAGAACCCCTCACCACCAGTGAAAACTCCACCGTCGAGAGGAGGGCCGTCAGGTCCCGAGCCACCCCCACCACCACTCCCACCACCTGCTCCACCGCCACCGCCACTACCCGCACCACCTCTAGTGCCCCCGCCGCCCTTCCCGCCCTTCTTACCGGCCTTGCCACGTTTCTGTCCGCCAGAGACAGAAACAGCCGCCGTCTCCTCAGAGGCAGAAGACGTGGGGGTGGCAAGTGAGGCAGTGAAGGTGGGAAGCTGTGGTACCGCACACCCCTCGCAAAAACGAGGAGGAGGCGCGGGAAAGGCAGAGGCAACAGTGAGGAGGTTACTCTCGATCTTCGAGAGAGCAGTCTCAAGAAGATCGATGGTAAGCTCAGTGGGGTGCTTCAGAAGAAGCGCGTCGCGGGCTGTGGCTAGGCGGTCAGGGAGGCGAGTGACTAGCCAGTGAATAGTGAGCCACATAGGGGGCGGGGCAAGGGCAAGCTGGTCCTCAGTGCAAGCAGCGCGAAAGCGAGCGTCAAGGGAGTGAAGGGTGGGTAGCGAGGTCAAAGGAGGCGAGGTCAGGGTAGATAAAGGGTACGAGGAGGCGACTGAGTGAAGCAGAGGAGGGAGTGGAGTAGCGAGCAACAATAGCCTTATACAGATCTGCAGCAGACTCGACCTGAGTGAAGTGGACTGCCTCTGTCGGCGGGAGAAGGTCGGTCAGGGCGAGGCAGGCAGCGGCGTCACGAGACTCCCACACGTCGCGAGCGAGGAACTGGCGCTGGTACTCGGCCTCCTGCTCAGGAGTAGGCGGTGGGGTAGTGGGCAGCGGGTTAGGCTTCTGATAGGCGGTCTGAGTACCGGACGCGTGTGCGAACAGGTGCACGCCATCCTGCCGCTGGCTCTTAAGGTGGCGCTGCGCCTGCGTAAGCCACGTACTAAAGTCAATCGGTCTCCCCTCAGGGTCAAAGCGAAGTACTCGGGAGGTCGCCATAAGGGGCGAAAGTGGGAGAGCGCGGCTGCCAGCCGCGGGAGGGTGAGACAGTCAGTGGCATGCGGGCAGGCGCGCAGGCGTGCAGGCGGGCAGGCGGCGTGGCATGCGGACAGGCGGGCGGCGCGGCGCGCTGGCTGGTGGGCCGTCCGTGGCGCGCTGGCATGCGCGCCAGCGTGGCGCGCTGGCGTGCGCGCTGGCATGTGCGCTAGCGTGACGCGCTGGCGGGCGCACTAGCATGCGCGCTGGCGTGACACGCTGGCGGGGCGCGCTGGTGGGCCTGGTGGCTAGGGCGCTGGCTGGCCTGATGGCTAGGGCGCTGGAGGGCCTGGTGGCTAGGGCGCTGGCGGGCCTGATGGCTAGGGCGCTAGAGGGCCTGCTGGATAGCGCGCTTAGGGCAGACGGGGGGGGGGGGAGGCACACCATGGCTAGAGACGGCGTACGGACGGCGGAGACTGGGTGTGGCCTAGGAACGGCGAACCTACTGCTGATACCATCTTACGAAGTGAAAACAAGAGTTGGATTGATTGGGAAGGGGTACAAATGCCTAACCCTAACTGTTTGTACCCCATATAGCATAACCCACTAGAGGCTATAACATTTGACAATTTATGGTACATTAACATAAGGTGGTCATTGTTCCACCTTAGCAAGCTTCCAACAATGCATGCTAGTACCAGTGCACTCCTTGGCATCTGCTCTCCCCATCTCCAGAATTCTTGAAACCAGCCTTGCCCCATGCACTCTACCTTCACCTCCATCTGCAGAAGATGCAGCTGCAATGTCTGTGGCAGGAACGACAGAAAGAAGTTGTTCGGCAGGTTGGGTGCTGGAAGAAAGGGGCTCGAGAGATGAGAGCGCAGGTCGAGGGGCACAGGTGGGTATGGGCGGTACAGGTGCAGCAGGCATGCGTTCAACAACATCCGTGCCAGAGCTGCCTGCTGCTGCAAAGGCTGTGCCACTACTGAGGCTGTCATGAGCAGTAGCAGGCGTGGGAGGGGAGGCAGCAGAGCTAACCGTGTGTGTAGCAGCAGCAGCAGCAGCAGCAGCAGCACAAGGAGATGCAGCATTAGTGCCAGCAGCAGCCACTGCGGCAGCAGCACCATCGCTGGCAGCACCACTGACAACAGCAGTAGCAGAAGGCACAGCAAGGTGGGTGAAAGGCGCGGCAATAGCCGCTCCGTGCATGCCCTGAGGCACGGTGTGGAAGGCGAGAGGGAATGGCACATAGGCGCGAGGCATGAACACAGGGCCTACTACAGGCGCACATGACCCCCCTCCAAATGTCGCTGACAGCATGCGCCCCACCTTGCTTGCTTTTATCCTCCCCCCACCGCCACCACCATCGCTGGCTGCATGTCCCTGCCCAGCCCCTCGTGCTGCCCCTCCTGCCACCGAGCTTGAGCCCGCGCCTGAGCCACTTCCACCAACACCCTTGTCCCTGCTGCCCGCTCCACCCCCTCGTGCCTCGCCACCATCCGCCCCTGCACCCCCCTCGTCGCGCCCCTGCTCGCCCTCTGCGCGGGGCACAATGCGCCTCAGGTTGGTGGTGGCGCCGCACGGCCCGTTGCGTGGCGGAGGCTTCTTCTGCCGGCCGCGCTTGCGCTTCATGAGGGGCTGGCCCGCCACCCCCAGCAGGTGGCGCCGCGTGGCCATGGCGGTGGCGGTGGCGGTGGCGGTGGCGGTGGCGGCCGCCATCATCATGGTGGCGGCGCACCGTGCCGCACACGTGCCGTGCAGCGACGCCGCCGCGGGGTACAGCGCAGGGGGGGGAGCGAAGAGGGGGTGGTGCATGTGCAAGGGGTCGAGCCCGAGCGCTGGTGGTGCACGGGCAGGGGAGGCGCGTGGTGGGGCCAGGGCAGCAGGTGATGCGGATGGCGCAGCAGCAGCAGGGGTGGTGGTGGCGGGCGCAGGGGGCGGAGTGGCAAGAGCAGCAGGGCGTGCTGGGAACAACGTGGGGCCGCCAGCCCCAGTGAGCGTGCGCATGGCCACTGGCACGCTCGAACCTGCTTGTGGGTATGGCAGGTGGGCAGGGGGGAAGGGCGGCTGCACGAAGAGCATGGGGGGCATGAGGGGAGCGGCGGGTTGATGCCACACGTGATACGGCACGAACGTGGCGGCGCCTGGCCCGCCACCAACTCCTGCTGCACCTGGATCACACCTCGTGCCCCCTGCCATTGCGCCACTGCCCTCCGCACCCCCTCCTGCACGTCGCCCCACAGTGGCCCCGCCAGCCACTTGCCGTGCCTCACCTGCCTCGCCTCCCGCGCTTGCCCCACCCGCTGCTGCTGCTGCTGCTGCTGGCGCTTTGGTGCTGCGCTGCCGCCTCTCACGCCTCTCCGCTCCCACAGCACCACCCGCGGCTGCAGGCGAGGCGGATAGGGGAACAGCGGACGCGGATGGAGGAGAAGCAGCGAGCGGGGAGGCGGAGGGACAGGGAGCGGCGGGTAGAGCAGCAGCAGGCATTGCAGGCAGTCGCTCTCCTTCTCCATCTCCTGCCCATGCCTCTGCCGCCACTGCCCGCGCTGATGCGCGTGGTGCTGCTGCTGCCCCTTGACCGCGCATGCATGCTGCATGCGTCCCCTGCGCGCCCTCATGTGTCTCCACCTGCCACTGCATGTGCTCCTCATGACTCTCGCTCAACCCACCGCTCCCACCCGCCCCTGCCGCCCCTACATCCGACCACTCCCTTCCCGCCATAAGTTCCCCCCCTCGCGCTTGCCCCTTCGCGCCCGTCCCTCTACCTTGCCGCTCTCGCGCCCTCGGCCCTCCATCCCAGCGGGCATGCGCGGCCTGACCCTCGTCCGCTGCGGGTCCCTCGTGCCCATCCGCGCCGCCCGGTGCGTCCTCCCACACATCCAACCCGCGGAACCACGCTGCGGAGGGGGGAGAGGGGCAAGGGGAGAGACCATGGGAGGTGATGAAGGGCGACGGGGGGACGAAAGCGAGCGCGAACGCACAACCAGCGTGCCCACCTGCAACGCTCTTTGCGCGCCGCGCCACCATCACGCCTACTCCGGGGGGGCGCTATGGACCACACTTACCGTCTGGCAGCGCCGCCCAGAGCAAGCCCTCCGCCGCTGTACCCTCGCCGCTCGCGCCATCCATCGCCGCCTGCAAGCCTCCGCGAGCCCCGCCCGCTCCAACGCCCGTTTCCGCTGCCACAGGCGCCGCTCCCGCACCGGGTGCCGCCACCGCGTCCGCTCGCTCCAGCAGCGCCGCCGCCTCGTTCCCGCAAGCCGCGTCCGCACGAACGGCGGGCGAAAGCTGCTGGTGCCGCTGGTGTGGCGACGATTCGACGGTGGCGATGGGCGAGACAAAGGGCGCGGGAGAATGCGCGGTACGGGGGGCGGAAAAGAGCGCGGAGGCGGGCGTCTGATGCGCTTGCATTCCGTCGCCGTCCATACGCGCTAGTAGCGACATCAGACACCCGCCGCGCACGCGCGCATCTGACGTCAGCGCCTGGTGCGCGCGGCAGAAGCTGTTGGGCTGCGGCTCGCTGCTCTCGCCGGCTCTGTGAGCGACGTCGCCCAGCGCGGGGCATGAGTCGGCGCCGCGGGAGACGGCGACTTGGTCGCAGGCGGGCCACGCGCACCACGCGAGGTCGTCCGGCAGGCTCAGGTACTCCGACAGCTCGAAGCCCTCCTCCATGTCCTCCGCGCGCTCCGCTTCCCCCATCCCCTCCGCCCAGCATCCCATCGCCTCCCCCATGCCTTCCCCATTCGCCTCCCCCATCGCCTCCTCCCACCCAGCCGCCGCTGACGCCAGCGCGTGTGCGGCGGAGGGGGGAAGGTGGTTCGCGGGGTGCGCCGAGCCATCGCCGACGAGCACAGCTCTCGATGACGCCCAGCCCGACCGCCTCCTCCCGCACCCACTGCTTCCGCCACCCGCCCCAACTCCATCGACGCGCCCTTCCGCCGTTCCTCCTTGCCCTTGGCGCGCGCCCACGCTGTCCGCCGTGCGCTCTAAGCAGTCCGCCACGTGCCCCGGCGTGGCGGACGGCGAGAACGGCCGCTGGTAGAGCGCCGAGCGCTGGTAGCTCGTGCTGATGCTGCTCGCGCTGCTTCCGCGCGCCACACCATGTCCCGCCGACGCATGTGCGGACGGATGGGCGCGCGGAAAATGCGGGCGGAATGGAGTCTCTGAAGCGTGCGATATTCCGCTATCCCCCACCAGCAGCGCGCCGCGCTCGATCGCGAAGAGCGGATCGGCGCACCCCCACGCTGCGAAGCGGCCGCAGCGGCTGCCGGACGAAAACGAGCCGGGCAGGCTGGCCGGCGCAGTGGCCGACGCGTTCGCTGCAGTCTGCGGCACGGCTTGGGCGAGCGGTGCGGAAGGGGCCACGGAGGCGAAGCGGCGCGACGCTGCGCATTTGTTCCAGCTCTCGCTGACGACGCTGGCGAGATCCGAGTCGTCCAACGAGAGCGCGGCGACTGTGGCTGGCGCAGGCGGCACGAGGCCCGATCCGACGATGGCGCTGCTGCGAGGCAACGGCGGCTCCTTGGCCAGCCCCCCGTGCGCTCGCGACCCGCATCCACCTGCTCCGCCCGAAGGGCCGCGAAGAAGTTTCTGCTCCGCGCCTCCCGCACACGGCGACAGGCCGGCAGGCGGAGAGAGGCGATCCGTGTGGGCGTGGTGGCTGGGGTGGTACATGGCGTCCACCCACGCACAGCGCTGGCGATCCTGGGCGCTTGCGTTCAGCGATGCAGTTTGAACCGCAGGAAAGATCGCGATCTAGCTCGTATGATGTTTCCCTGACCCCGCCGGCTGGCGGTAACTGAAATCGTCACGTGACGCGCGCACCCCACCGCGTGCGGGTAACGGGCGCGAGGACAGCGTATGTGATGGGATGTGCGACGGGATGGAGAGGAGACAGTCGTGCGTGAGGGGTCAGCGGCGAGGTAAAGCGGCACCGAGTCCGGGCAGAGCGAGCTCGAAGGTGACAGGGGCGGAGGTGATCTCAACGACTTGGACACTCGGAAGGGTGTGGCAACAGCAATGAAGTCCAAGCAATGCGATATCAACGCGAGGTGATCAAGGGGGCTCGGCGATGATAGGGATCCAGGGGGGAGGGCAGGGCAGAGGAGGACCAACAATTGTTCCAGGTGGGACATGTCGGCTCGCACTTGTGGTTCCGCGAGCTACCTGCTCCGCGCGAGAGCTTCGGGGGGGGGAGGGACACGGGCAGGCACTTCATACACCCGAGTTGTTTTACCCAGAATACCCTGCAGATTGAGGTACATTTCGTGACCAACCCTGCTAGAGAATGGTCTAAATGATTGTAACAAGGCCAATGGTTGAGGCTGCTGGATCTAATGTCGTATTCCAACGTTGGGACGCCATCCAAATTAGGACACGCGACTCGCAATATTAAAAATGTGCTAAAATGTTCTGCCACGCGGTTCGGAGATTGAACACGCCGGCCATGAAAAATGCGACTGTCAAGTCCGTCACTCTGCGACCCGGACGATCGTGAATTGTAGGGGTGTTTTTCAGTTATGACTGTTGATAAGATGCATGTTATAGTGTATTCTGCCCTCAAAAACAAAATGCAGGGGTGTTTTGAGTACAGCGCACTGTAGGGGCCGCGAACTAAACTCCCTCCGTCTTTCACGGACCTGCCCGATCGGTTGTTCCTCTGTCACATTGTTTTCCCTCACTCGCCAAAGTCAGATATGGTCGTTTACATTTGTCGCGCTGTGATTGGGCATAAAAGCAGTCTGCCCAGCAACCGTCAGGCGATTCCGACAAAAGTGGTCGCAGGGCTGAAAATCATCACATGTCCGAACTGGGGCCACACCCCACATGGACACCATCGTACCCCAAAAAATGCTTCTGGTGGGGTAACTTCGATGGTGTCCCAACTTCGGAATACAATCTAAGCTTCAAGTCCCAGTCGTCCCAGAAACGGCAATTCAGATCCTTCCCGGCCTGCGCTTCCAACTAACTCTGTTGTCTGGGAAACAAAAAACATCGTCGGCTCGCCCTCCTTATTCCCCAAATCTGCTGAAACTGGCGACATCTGGTTGCTTGAAATCCGGGGAGTAGGGGAAGGAGTGCTGGAGAATGTATCCACCACTCGAGTTTCGCCTGCTGGAGCGGGAAAACAAGTTCGTCCACTTCGCCAGCAACAAGTGTGTCATGGGGAAAAAAATGACTTGAGAGGCATGTACTGTACAGCCAGGCGTGGGCCTGTTTTTACTGTACACGTATGACCCCCAGGCAGGTTTTCCAGTTAGCTTGAATCTGATGGAGCGTTAGGGAGGTGTTTCCTACTATTATTAGTGCAATTGAGTGAATAAACGAGTATTCCACTATCTAGGCAAAAACATTACATCTAGCAAAGGAATGAACGCATGATATTTAGTGAACTAGCGTGGTAACGGTAATGTGCGAAAATGGGGTGCACTACGAGCCTAGCGCCGATTTGGGAATTGTCAAGGCGGAGGACCGGGTTATCAACCGAGCTGTAAGGTTGGGCGCAATGTGATCAGTGGTGGGAACAGTGATCGTGTCGAGTCTCGCGAGTGGTAACGGTGCACTGTTGGGTACTGTTACGAATAGTAATATTTGATATTACTGTGCACTCCTCACCGCAGCAAAGAGAAGCAGGCAATATCGGGAATGAACGCGAAGCGTCAGACAGTTGGAATTGAACCGAAGAGTCAGACGGTTACAGCACATCTGGACCGTCGGAGCAGATGGCATCGGGCAGCTTCAGGCAGGATGGTTTTGGCGGGAACAGTTACGAAACTGTACGCGCCGCACGGTTGGGGATGAATTTGAATAAGGGAATGTACCCCTTATAGTACATGGCTAGTTATGTCGTTTCGTATTCCCTTGTACTCATATTTATATTTCCTGTATTTGCATGTTTTAATTATCTCAAGCATTTTACATTCACTCTGCTATTGAGGTCAAGGGCCCACCAAACTATCTCACTGCGTGCGAACCTTCCTGGGTAGATCCTGGGCTACGATCAACTTCTGATCGCAGCAGGTACCGTTGGCAGAAACAATCGTGTACGTGATAGGCAAGGGTGTGGAGTAAGGAATGATAGTACTTCTTACACTCCCTCCCTCCCCAAGGATGCCCCCTTTACGAGAGTGCGTGTACGTCTCGAAAAGCGCGTCTTCGCAATACTCGGTAATGACGAAGTGGTTCTTGATTTTTTTCTAAGGGCACCTAGTTGTCTTTGGTATGTGTGTGATCCTTCCAGCGAATCAGGAACTTCATCCTACGGGCTCCACAAGGGTCACAAACTCGGCGGCTCAGTAATTTTTTAGAGGTGGTGACATGCACTTTTGATGCCATGTCCTGCTGGATGGCCAGCTGCGTGGCAGTTGATTCGTTGACGAGATGTATGGGTGGAGAAGGCTGACGTGGAACGACAGACTGGCGTACCAGTCAGCACGTAGGAAGAGGTGGGTGGTGATAGGTATAATTATATGGCCGTTGAAAAATGGCCCGCAATATCTTAGGCATAGCTTCGGAGTGACGGGCAGGCGGAGGTTCTGGGTGTCGAATAAAACGAGGTTGTCGGGCCTGGTAAGTGACGGTCGGCGTTGCTCTTAGCGATGATGTTCAACCTTTATATTGCGTGGCCCGAAAAATCTCGGCAAACTGCTGCACGCGCGGGAATGGGTTGTTGGGATTTTGAATTATGTGTGAGGATCAATAGGATTGTGTTGAGAAATGAGAAATGATTTTATCGATTCACCTGGGTACAACACGAGGCTATATATAGTCTCGACACAAGGGCCAGTAACCAGGTGTTACGCGAAGGTTCCGAGGGTCGCGAAGTGTTCGAATGGAGCCTTTCTGAATTCGGCAGAAGGCAATTTGGTGGCAACCGAAGCCTGGAATTCGGTGCACATAACATAGTCTAATAACTATTATAAATGGTTGGAAAGTGCTTAATTAAGGAAATCAAGCAATGGCATGCATGATAAAATAATCCAAAGCTAGATAAAGCCTTATAGAGTCAAGGCAAGCAAGCGAAGCTAGCATAAGCCGTCGTACTCTCACACGTCCCCCCCTCAAAGCTCAGTGGCATGTGAAACACCCTGTTTGACAAGGCAATAGACGAGAAAACGACGTGCGTTGCCCATATTTGCTACTGCAACCCAGTTGTCCTCTGACAGAATCGTATCCCTTCTAGCGTATCAGGAAATTGAGGGTCTTTCCTCTGCGGCGTCGTTAAGTCAAAACGTTTTCCACCTCATACACGGGTTCATCTTGTACGAAAACAAATGGGGATTGCGGTAGCTGCCGTCCCTGAAACTGCTGGTCAAGATCCTTGTACGGCTTTAGTAGTTGAACATGGAAAGCGTTGTGAAGCTTCCAAGGAAAAGGTAAGCACAAGCGAAATGTTTCTGGTGTCACCTTTTCCGCAACGCAGAAAGGACCAGTAAAACGAGGCCAGAGCTTGAATGGTAGATGAAACAAGTCCAAGTTGCGAGTGTCAAGAAGCACCCGATCCTTGACTGCTACCAAGTGATCTCGTTGCTGACGATCGGCACACTGTTTCTGGGAGTTTTGCATTGTGGTGAGACGTCGCTGAGTCTTCTCCCATAGCTGCTGCATGGTGGTGACAAAGTCGTGTGCGGCTTGGACGTGTGCCAGTGTGGTTGGCTGCTGTGGTGTAAGTGGTTCTCATCCATAATACGGGAAGAAAGGGGACTTTCCTGTGGCCGCATATGAAGCATTTTTGTAAGCGGACTAAAGAGTCAGTATCTGTAGATCACAATGGATGATGTCGCCTTTGCAAGCTGTGCGCAGTAACTGTTCAACCATCTGATTGAGTGACTCAGTCTGTCCGTCAGTCTGAGGGTGGTACGCTGAAAACATCGCGAGCTTTGTTCCCAACAATTTTATGAGTCCCCCCTCCAGAACATACTGGTGGATTTGGGGCAGATGAGTGTAGCAGGGATTGTGTGGAAGGTGATGATGCGGTCGAAGAAGAGGCGAGCAGTTGCTTCAGCTGTAGCCGTGGCGTTAGTTGGGATGAAGTGACCCATCTTAGAGAACTGGTCGCTCACTACGAGTATAGCATCATGACTTCGTGAGGTCAAAGGAAGCCCAGTGATGACGTGTAGGCTAATAACTTGTTATGGCTACTCTAATTGCTACTCTTCTTCTACGGGCATGTGTCGCATGAGGTGACGAACTTCTGCACATTTGCTGCCATTCGAGGCCATTAGTAATACTTCTCTATTCCTGCTAACATCTTGTTGCTCCCAAAATGTCCCGCGTTTGCTACATCGTCTCGGAGCGGGGCTTAGTTCGGTACTCAAATCTTTCCTGAACCCCTCCTTTCAGCAAATACTTTCGCCCACAATTTCAGTTTCTCCTTCTGTGCTATAACAATCGCTGCGTCCACGGAGTACCCATGTTGGAATAGACCCTTAAGCAGAGGGTTCATCATGTTAGGCTGGATGCTTGCTACATGTCTGGGGCGGCTCAACACATCTACTTTGTTGAATAGCCCGGGTGTGTAGATGATGTCTTAGTGGAAGTATGTTTTCAAGAAGTCTATCCACCGCACCTGTCGTCGTGAGATTGTAGGCTACGATCCAAGGTACATGAGACCGCTGTGGTCAGTGTAGACTATGGTCTTGGCTCCTTCTAGGTAACATCTCCATGCCTTGAAG